GAGCCGTTGACCACCACTCTCTGGCGGTCAATGGCTTCCTTTTAACTACACCACGGAATTCACGTTTGCAGAAAGTGGGATTTACATGATCAGTCCACCAGTATTTTGTAATCTTAGTCACCTAATCTTACCCCTCACACAGCAACAGTTGGCAGAGCATTTTTGAACAGAATTCCTTCCTTTTCAGCCTCCTCGCCATACAGTCAAGGGGCCACCTCCCTCTTACTTCAACAAACTGCAGTGAACACCTCAGCTTCATCATCCTCTGCCCCTGTCCATTTCCCCACCCTTCTCTCCATACCCTTGCCTCTTGCTTGAAGGAAGACCCTTTTCCCTAACCCAAAGGGCTGCTCCACAAAGCACCTCCCCTGCGGAGCGACACGGCACGCCCCTTCCCAGTGCCATCGCTCCGGTGAGAAACCGCCAACGCAAGCGCCGGCCGCCTGCCTTACCAGCCTCCTCCAGGAAACGCTAACCAGAGTTTAGTCTCCACGAACACAGCCAGTAGTAGGACCGGCGAAGAGGATTTCAAATCCCATTTATTCAGCCTCCCGTGTCGTACAGCGGTACACACCACACCCCTCTGGTAAGCTCCCACAGCCGGAGCATTTTATACAAATGACCAACGAAAGGCCCTTTGCGTGGAGGTCAACACACGTTTTTACTGTGGCTACGGCAGCCTGCCCACTACCACGAAGAAAAACTGCAAGTTTTGAGGGGATGGTTTTGTTCTTTTTAATTGCTAACGAAGATTTACCTACAGCACAACTCCATCCTCCTCCAGCCAGCAGCTTCCTGTCCCTCTCAGCTTCCTGTATGATTTACAGCTGAACCTGGTTTAGAACTCAGTTGGAAAAACTAAAGGCTTACCTTGAAAGCGGGTATATCCTAACGTTTCTCCTCGGAAACTCTTATAGTATTTTACTCCATAAACTATAATTGGTCTTCTAAGAATATGTGCAAGTACGAAAATGTGTGTCTGCTCCAAACTTGCTCCAGGCTGAACCAAACACAAAGAGAGACATCACTTGAGACAGAACTTATCATTCTCTGAAATGCAAAAAAGTCTCCAAATTCAGATCGAAAATGCTTTTAAGAACAATCGCGCTCCGACAGGAAAAAGGAAAGACTAGAAGACTATTGCATATCAGTTGGAAATCAGCAAAAACATTTCATCTTGCCCCAGAACTTAACCTGTCAGGAACAATTCTCTGTCTGATCGCCCAGATGCAATCTAATGTATTTCATTCCCCAGTTGAAAGGGAAACTCTACATAATGTTTAGTCTAAAAATAATTCACTCCTCTGAGAAAAGGTTATGGTAAATACCTTTTGATGACGGGAAAAGAGCACATCCAAATCAGATCACAAGCAAATAGCACCAAAATCACATCTATACTTTAAAAGAGGAGTTAAAAATATTCCTACAGCTGAAGTTACAGGCATGTGAACCTCGTTTTGGGGGGAGTTATACACATCAGCCTGATAAACTTCTACAGATTTGTTGCTATGTTCTCCACACAGGGAAGCACAAATCTGTAGAAGTTTATCAGGCTATGTTCTCCACACAGGGAAGTGCTGCAGGACATTAGGCAGACGGCTGTGTATTAGTTAATTCTACAGACTTCACTCCGACCCCAAAAGAAACATTTTTTTGTACTGTATTGCTTAATGGTAAACACAAAAATCAGAATTTTATATTTTAACTAGAGTTTTAAAGTGAAGTCCATATGGAAGAGTCTACCCAGTAATACTTTTTAAGTTTCCTGTGTTAAGAGGAATGTTTTACCTTCTATATAAAATTCTTCTTACTGAAAAACACTCTGAGGCTTTGAAATTTCTTTTCAGAGAGATTACAAGACCCTAACAGCCAACTTATAAAGGAGCTTTCGTACCTGGCTTGCAAGAGAGAGTATGAATGCCCAATCTTCTTGCCACTGTTCCTCTCGCAATGAGAAATGTAAACCAAAGCTTTGGGAATACCTTTCTTTCCAGCGTGTATAGAACCTAAAATGTTGAGGAGAGAGAGAGAGAAGTAAAGAGAAGTATTTACTCAACCCCCATACACCTGATAGCAGCACTGAATCCTTGCAGTTGTTGATCCCAACGCTGTACAGAAGGGGGAAGAAAGAGAGCACACAGCAAAAAATACCTGTTGTTTGGGTTTTGGGGATTTTTTTTTTTAAATTCTCAGGAGGCCTCATTTGCTAATCTCATTTAAGAAGCCACTTGGGATCGCAATGCCTTCGGCAAACATGCTGGATGCAAGTTCCTAACAGGCTCCTGGCTAGTTTGATACTTCTTGCAACGGGTTTGTTTGAAGCCTTATTTAGGCCCGTTTATTTTTAAGTGTTGATGTCTGGGGAACAAAACCAAGACGTTCCATTTCACATCAGAGGAACGGCTCCTTCTCCTCATACAAAGGATACAGGTATTCGCTACTGCTGACCACATCGGGAGGCTTTAGCTCCAAAGTATTTGTGTATCAGCTTCAACTAGGCCACGGTTATGAGGCAGAATTTGCTTTATATCACTTTTTGGAGCAAAGATGGTAATTTTACATTATATGGGATAGTGACAAAGCAGCGTGGATAAGAATCAAATACAGAAAGTGGGATTAATCTGATTTACACTGAAGGTTTTAAAGTCACAATTTAGGCAGAAAAACAGAAATCTTAAGATTAGCATTTTTGTATGCTAGTTTAGTCGTGACGTTTCATCTTTCTTAATCAGCTACAAAGAAAAACACCCCACACATCAAAAAGCAGATGCTGGCTTTTTAAAATCTTAAGCTCGGTGCGATCACCACACCATGGAAAGGCCACCACCTCCATCAGGAACAGGGGTTTAGCGGAGAGCACTAAGCCAACTTCTACAGAGTGGTCTTTGCTGCGGATACAGAGGAACCATTCTGAAGTTCAGCTTATTAAAAAAAGTCACTGAAATGAACTCATTTAATTAAAATCTGAGAAAATTAACCGACGGCGAGCACGTGTGAAGAAACCTTTCTGTGTGTAAAGCTGTAATTGTTCTGAAACCTCGGTGTCTGTAGAGCTGTCCCCAGCCAGGCTGGTGCTCCCAAGTACAGCTACCACCTTTGCAGGGCTTAGGAGACGATGAGTAGGACGTTCCGATACGTGCATGTGCCTGCTCGCAGCAATGCATCCACAGGGAACCTGCTGGATCTATCCACATGCCGGTTTCTACCCAAATACATCAGCTGCTTCCCTCTTTGCGGCTGACAGGTGTTTTGCCTGTTTTCCCCCAGCAGCGTCTCACCAAATTGATTTAGCACAAGGTGCTGTGTGCCAGGTCTCCTGAAAGAAGGACCAAAAACCAGCCAACAACCCACCGCACCACAAAGCTCCCCACAAAACCCCTACGGTGGGATTGCTTTCCTAAGGATGCGTCTTGTGGGAGTTAGTCTGCCCAGAGGTGGTTACCCCTAGCTGTTCACAGGAGGGAGCCCCGCAGGCATGAGTCAAGGCTCAAGATTTTGATGTGATTTAAAACATACGTTTCAGTTTAACGCAAGAGAACTGAATGCATCCGCAAAGGAAAACGCTTCAGAAAGCCACCTTGGGGCACATGCCCGTTCTCCAGCAGAGAGAACAGTCCAATACAGAATCCTAGAATGCCAGGGCTTGGAAGGGACCTTCAGAAACCATCCCATCACCCCCTGCCAAAGCAGGGTCCCCTAGAGCAGGCTGGACAGGAAAACAACCCCGTATCTCCAGAGAAGGAGTCTCCACAGCCCCTCTGGGCAGCCCATTCCAGCACTCTGGCACCCACAGAGTGAAGAAGTTTCTCCTCATCGTGAGATGGAACATCAGTGCACTGAAGAAGTGCAGTCATTTAGAAGGTGAGTGGGAAAGACTCCACAGGCCAGAGCCTCTGGGAACTTCACTACTGAGCTTTTTCTGTGTACCAGCCACCAGACCGTCTCTAGTAAATAGGTTCTTCTTTGTTCAGCATCTAAACAAACGTAACAAAATGAGGCCAAACAAGTTACATGAGTGTTGTGTGTCTGACTGTAAGAATTCCCTTTAAGTGTCTCTGAAGGCTTTGAAGAACAATCCTACCAGGTAAGTGTTTAAGCATACCGCTGTCGAGACTGGTGATTTGCATTTAAGAGCCTATTCCTTCAGCAACTACCGTTAAAGTGACAACAGTGTCACTTCCGACGTGCTACACGTCCTATCCCACAGGATTAAAAGGATATATGTCTTGGCCAACACAGAATCTATACAGCAAGTATGGGATGTACAGGATGATGAATTTATAACAGAACTTAATTAAAATACTTCTACTAATTTTTCCCATGATAAACTAGCAAATAGAATTATCCAGACTGAAGGCAGGCAACTGTATTCAAACAACTATAAAGAAACACATGAATCATAGAATCACAGAACGGTTTGGGTTGGAAGGGACCTTAAAGACCATCTAGTTCCAACCCCCCTGCCATGGGCAGTGACACCTTCCACTAGACCAGGTTGCTCCAAGCCTCATCCAGCCTGGCCTTGGACACTCCCAGGGATGGGACATCCACAGCTTCTCTGGGCAACCTGTCCCAATGCCTCCCCACCCTCTCCATTAAGAACTTCTTCCTGATATCCAATCTAAACCTCCCCACTTTCAGTTTCAACCCGTTACCCCTTGTCTTGTCACTACAGGCCCTTGCAAAAATTCCCCCCCCAGCTCCCTTGCAGGCCCCTTCAGGTACTGGAAGGCTGCAATCAGTTAAAGTTGTGCTTCCAATAAGGATGAAGATTAAGTAAATTCAGAGTAAACTGCAAGTTCTGTCTAGAACATGAACTAAAAAGGTTAATCAGATTTAATACACTAAATGATTGCTATGTTAGGTACATCAGTAAGCCAACAGCAGTCAGCACTAACCTTGGAAAGACTGGTTTAATCTCAACAGTTTGCAGCGTGTTTTTGGATACCACGCTTGGTTTTGTTACTATAAAGTACAAAACTTGACCTATCATAAATTTCTGTTCTGGCCTCAAGGGAACTGCTTGCGATGCCAGGGACATTCCTGCGTGGTCGAGATGCACGCTCCGTTATAAACAACTCCGAAGTCGCAACAGATCCATTCGGAGACAGGCCCTCGGAACTGCTACCGAAGCACTTTACTGAATCCAGCTCTGGATGCTAATTTGGGGAGGTCTCTCCAAAGAGCAGGCAGTTGAGGACAGAAATCACAAGAGCTATGTATAGGTACCCCTAAAAATGAACCTTTGCTGCTGACTTCCATACAGCACACAGGGCAAGGGGACGGGCTTTCTCCCCAGCGTGCCTGTTTAGGGAGTTCCACTTGTCCTTGGCTACAAGAATTTAAGAAACCTAAATCACCCGTGTCTTATTTTATTAGCCTTTATCTACCTCTTCCCTTGGTCCCATTACACGCTGAGAGCTGGGGGTCCAACTGTAGACGTTTTCCCTCCAGCAGAGGCAAACCACCGTATGGGACTGAAGAAGGCTGCCAGTGTCAAACAACAGGAGTTGTTTTACAGGATGAATTAATCCTATGGCCAACTGACAGCACTCGTTAAAGGTCAACACTCTGCTTTGCTGACACCGTTTTAGCAGGCAGAAGAGGCACAAGAGCAGCAATACCAAGTAAAGCTGTAACTAAGCAGATGGAATGAAAATAGTGAAAAGTTTATAGCCTTTTATTCCTCTATCTGCTATTAACGATCTTCTGCAACGCTTCCACGAAGAGCAGCGAGGCATGGCATGTGCACGATTTACACTGCAAGTAAATTCCAGTCCCAACTGCGGTCAGCGCTCTCTTGACAAGCACACGGCACAAAACATTCTGCTCTGGTTTAAATGCTATTTGCTGAGTATCACATACCGCTACCGAGTGCACAACGTCCGAGTTTCCAGCGCTTGCGTTTAAAACAGGCTAGATCCAGATTACTACGTGAATCGTGCTGTGAGTCAACGTCTTTGAGGCACGCAACCCCCAGCCAAGTGGGGAGTGGTGGTGATACGGGAAACCTTCTGCGCTTCTATTTCATACCGTACCACCACCGACTCCTCTGCTACACGGAAAGCTGATCTTGAAAGCTGACACAAGAACCACCTTACCAATGCGAGCAGTCGTGTAAACTGTCGTGAAGAGCTTTCCGCAGCACTGAATCCTTGTCGTAAATGCCCCAAGTGGCTTGTAGTACTGAATCCAGCAGGCAGTCCCCTGCAGTCCGATTCCAAAGTGCATATAATCTGCTGTCCAAGCGCGTACCCAGTTCCAGTGACCAGTTAATAATGGGAGATTCCTCTTCTAGCTCTGCAACATGACAATAACCTCTTGTAAAGCCCATATTCACTTGAAGTCTCGGAGGATCTGAACAGCACAGTAATGGCATAACCTCAACAATTTACCCATTTACATGAATAAAACTAAGTTTTACTTTATACTACAGAACAAAGTGAGCTGCCATGGCTAAAGGCATTCCTTGGGCAAAATACTGTAAAGAGAAGAAATAAAAAAGAACCAAAACAAACCATAGCCTTAAACAAAGCATCACATGGTTTGTCTGAGGATTGTTAGTGAAGCGGAAAGATTTGGTCGGTTTTCTTTAAAGAGCTTGTGACTTAAAACTGCAAAGCTTTAAAAATCTTTAAAATCCAAAGATAAGATTACAAACAATTCCTACAGACTCATTCTCTCTGTCCCATAAACAGACTGTAGGTGTTAAAATTAAAATAAATTTAGGGTGAAGATTAACTTGATTTGGTCGGTTTTCTTTAAAGAGCTTGTGACTTAAAACTGCAAAGCTTTAAAAATCTTTAAAATCCAAAGATAAGATTACAAACAATTCCTACAGACTCATTCTCTCTCTGCCTCATAAGCAGACTGTAAGTGTTAAAATTAAAATAAATTTAGGGTGAAGATTAACTTGAAAGCATCAAATTTGTATTTAAAAACTAATTCAGACAACAAAGCCACATATATACAGGCACACACTTTTTTTTTTTGTAATAACAGAAACGTTCTCTAATGAATAAGAGATTCTGGCCATTCTCAGAGCACTGAGGGACAGACATTTCAGTAGGGCCTGTAGCGACAGGACAAGGGGTAATGGTTTTCAACTAAAAGAGGGCAGATTCAGACTAGATAGAAGGAAGAAATGTTTTACAATGAGGGTGGTGAAACCCTGGCACAGGTTGCCTGGAGAGGGGGGTAGATGCCCCATCCCTGGAAACATGCAAGGTCAGCTTGGATGGGGCAACCTGGTCAGGTGGAAGGTGTCCCTGACCATGGCAGGGGGGTTGGACTAGATGCCCTTTAAAAGGTCTCTTCCAACCCAAACCATTCAGCGATTCCACGAGTCATTTACCTTTCTGAACATCTCTGTCAAGTACTTCGTCAAATAACTTTTCCTGGACTGTGGGCGGTAAGTCTTCAATATCTGGAAAAACAGAAAGCAAACAGAAAAGGTCACTTACAGCAAGACAGACACGTTACCAGCCGATGCTCCAGAGAACTCATGCAACAGCTTTGGCCCTGTCATCCCTAACAGCAAGAATGGATTTCTCTGAAGGAGAAAGTGAAGTAGAGAACCACATTGGGTGGGTGGGGGGAACAGTGTTTTCAACTCTACCATATTTAGGACTGCCTCAATCCTAAGCAGTAGTTTTCCACCCATCTGAATGGCTTCCCCTCCCCGGTCTCCCCCAGTGGATAGGTACAGTTTGCCGAGGGACGTGTTCTTGTACAGAACACCCATTTCTTAGCCATTTCAGGTAGACTTCAACAAAATAGTTCAGAGAACCGCAGTGGTCTGCAGGCCACAGCTGGCAGGTTGGAAAGAAGAAACGGGAAAACGACTGAGCTATGAGATGGAAAATGCCATTACTGACAACTCTTCCAAGAGCTTTACAGACAGGATTTGCAACTGTGGATCCACCTTTATTAAAAAAGGCAAAACACTGTGTCATGGGCAAAACTCCTGTGACTCCTGTATCATGTCAAACAGTAAACACACGTTCTAAAACTCAAACTTTGGCTCCACCTTAAAGATCTACGCATGGGCTGCGTTTCAGTACAGGATAAGCAGCAAAGGGTTGCAAGCAGATCAGCAACTAGAGAAACTTTGCTGGCTTCAGCACAACTGCGAAACTTAAATAAGGGAGTAAATCAAACAGCTAAACAGGAACATCTAGCGTCCCTTCGGGCAGTCTGGGGATAATGACTGGGCTCTCAGTGGTGTTTCAAGGGCACGAAGATCTCTCTTCATTCCAGTGTCGGATCTGCCAGTCCTGTACCCCAGGGCTTCTAAAAATGAAGCCCACATTTAGGCACATGAGCGTTATAACTGTTCTTTTTAAACTAAAACTGGCTTACAGTGGCCAGCATTCAATTTAGAAGTTTTGCACTCCCATGGCAGTGCATTGGCTCTTCAGAAGGATGGTCTCTAATTATTTGGAAAGTTGAGTGGAAACTGGTTCCTAAATTACATCATGCAGGTAACATCCGAACGGGATTGTGTGATCTACACCACTATCCTTGGAAACACTCCCTTGAGACCAACTGCTATCTATTTACTACAAAAGACATGCAGTTGACTAAGTGTGACAGATAAGGAAATACTCCGACAGTCCTGATGCACAGAAGCTTTTGATCATTCTTATTCCTTAATTATTGAACGTCAAAAAGCTGCACAGTGATTTAAGATGAGTCTCTTGAAAATACCTGAACAAATTCCTCAGCTCTGGTGAGAGCAACGTTTCTCATGTTCATGTTTCTCATGAGCAACCTGGTCTAGTGCAAGGTGTCCCTGCCCATGGCAGGGGGGTTGGAACTAGATGGTCTTTAAGGTCCCTTCCAACCCAAACCATTCTGTGATTCTATGAAGTCATTTTGCTGCCCCTTTTCCCCTTCTCTCCCCCAGACTGCAAGGAAGTATTAGTCTCTAGACGCTTCATACACCCACACCATCTGCTTCCCATACGTGACCCACAAGTAAGACTGACTACAGCACCTCAGACAGACAGTTTAGACAAGGGGTAAATATTATCCCGATTTTTTGAAGAGGAAGAGATGAGGTAATCAAACAGGTTCCAAATACAACTGTTACAATGCTACTGCTGTAATAAAAAAGACAAACGTGTCTGCTGATTAGTATAGCTTCCATCTACACTTTGTCTCAGCTCTGGTAGCATTTCTGTTAAAGGAAACAGCTACTGAAGATTTAAAAGCTTTTTGTTAACAGACAAACCTTCTCTTGATCAAGGAGTACCTCAAAAGTATTCCAGAAGTGCTATTGCTATAAGCAGGGACAAACACAAAGAATAGCTCTGAGCCTTAACGGAAAGGACTGAACGCTAACGCAGCTCTGTGAGAAGTCATAATAGAGCCCTGAAAGGTCTAGGCTCCAATTTTAACTTTAAACACAGCCTTCCCTTAAAATACACCACTTTTCTTCCATTTCCTCATGGCTAAAGACAACAGCAGATGTTCACAGGCACAATATACGGGCTGAAATGTGCAAAACCTGAATATTAATAAGAAAATTCACCTACTAGATCTGACCTAAGCTGTTCAATCTTAATAAATAAAAACCTATACACACCCCCACCCACCATCAGAAAGTCCATGTATACATCCAAAACAAACAATTTTCAACTAAGTGACAAAAACCCAAGCCTTCCACCAGTAAGAACAATTTTGTAACTACCTGCAGGTAACGTAAACGTTACCAGGTCAGTCAGGAAATAGCAAGCAAAGTCTCCCTTTCGCTGGTGAAGAGATGCAGCAATTTCACGGCGAATTTGTTCTGTGACCTCCGGACACACCATGGCAGGAATACACTTCGCAGCGTGTTGCGATACCTGTAACGTAACACAGACTACTGCTCTCAGCCTTATTTCCAGTGAAATACAAAGACCTAAGAGTGACAGCCACCAGCGGACGGTATTTTGTAAGCAAGTAATGCAACCAAAGTATAAACACTGGTACCCTGAAAGATTAAATATTTAGTGACCCTCCATGAATTCATGTCTCATTTGTCACGTAGCCAGTAACACAAAGCTGGTTAAAAACCTCTTTAAATCAAAGAAATGAATTAACAGGTGACAAACTCCAGCGTGAAAAGGAAATGGTCTGTTGAGTAAGTATTCTGAAAAACTGAAACAAAACCAAGCAGAAAAATCTGTAAGACACTATTTCAGCACATTAATTTGTTTTTAAACATGTAACTCTATCCACTCAGACAGCTATTAAGCAGCACAAAACTACTGATATTAGCCATATATCAATATATAGTCTTCTCAAGGACATTTGCCTCGCTTAATCTACCCTTTTTAATTACTCAACCCCACGCATTCTGTCATCCTTAGGCGCTTCTCAGGCACGCTGCTTTTCTCAGGAACATGTGCTTTCAGAACTGCATCAAGTATCAAAAGAGGGAAGGGGGCAGAATAAAAATTTGGCTCCAATCAGGTGAGGAACCAGAAGTCCGAGGTGAAGAAAAGAGATAAAAAGAGATAACAGAATTACTTATGGGCCTAGGAGAAGGGCAGAGATGGAGGAGGGCAAAACCACCAGAAGTGAGGTGGACCATACAAAAATATACAAGGAAATGGAACATGCAAGAGCAAGGATACCACAGAGAGGAACCAACCTGTCTATAAAATGGATGAAAAGTGGAAAAATGCAGCAATTTTGCAAAGCAAGAATTTTTCCTTTCTCTAGAAAAGAAGCTCCTAAGAAAACCAGGGAATAAAGACCAGGTAGACTTGTTCATTAACAAAACTCAGAAAAATCTACGCTGTCATTGATGTCAGTGTTTTGCTTTCAGGGCATTTCCTCTCCCCCACCCAAAGCACAGGAAGCCTCACAATAGCTCACTTCCACCACCAGTAAGGCCAGAATGCATGCCAAGACGGCTCATTAAGGAGAAAACTGAACGTCCTCAAGACCACCGCACATATACAGCCTTAAAGTCATCCCACTTCTTAAGTAGAACCATCAACAAAGGCACAAAGCAGCAATTCATGTATCCTAACAGTATTAGCCTCTCTCCTCCAGCACATAAAGTTACATGTCAGTGGCCGCAAACAATGGCACGGTTACGTAAGGTTCCTATTCGACCCAAGGGCCCAAGTAACTCACCTCCGTGAGCAAAATGGCTAGCATGTCTTGTCTCTGAAAGCGTATCGCCAGATGGACAAGCGTGTACCCCACATCAAAAGCAGAAGGGCGATTCAGCAGGCGTACTTCATCTGCAGAAAGCTGGCGGGCAATATCTCCTCCTGATGACTTGTACGCTTCAACGGCAGCTAAATCACCTTCGACAACTCCTGAAGGGAATAAAAATACAAATCATTTTAGCTAGGGAATGAGCCATTCCGGGTCAAACCGCCTTATTTACCAGTTTGCCTCTTGCTGTTCTGATACACACCTCACATATGAAGAGCAACCGCATAGCAAGAAACTTGCTAAATTTATTTCTTCTTTTTAAACTGGACTATGAAATATCTATACTTACCTCACCTCCTAGACCACTTCCACTATCCAAACTAGTTGGAAGATACGGCAGATCAAAAGGCAGCTGTGAAGTGGTGCTGAGGACCCTTGATGAAATACCCAGCATAATACACTAGCGTTTCATTTCATCAGTACCACCAAAGTCAAGTCATTCATTCATAGTACAGAGATTAGTTTAATTACTCTTTTCCCTTGGAACTTACCTTAAAAACAAACTACTGGATCTGAGAAATAGAATCATAGAATGGTTAGGGTTGGAAGGGACCCTAAAGACCATCTAGTTCCAACCACCCTGCCATGGGCAGGGACACCC